TTTTGTTCTTGTATAGTTTGGAATTGAAAAAAAATAATCACGTTAAAGTTTTTGTGAAATGCATAAAATAAAATACTTAACGCAGAATTTTTAACTCGCAGAATTATAACAATGGGATCATTCATTCACGTGACAAGCATACATTGTGCGTTATGGTGGTAATATTTTATTAAATATCAATATGCAGTTTAAAAAAGGTTTTAAATATCGATAATTAATATTCGTGACATGCCTGAAACGTATGAAATGGAGATATTACCTGGCGTAAAAACCGAGTCTGGAAAGGAACTGCTTTCTGATGTAAAAATTGAAACATCCGAGAAAGAGTCATTATCAACCAAAGAGGGTCTTCAAGAAAATAAAAAACGAATACATGACGACGAAGAAAGTTACAGTTATGCTCTTGATGACTCAAAAAGGCAAAAGAGAGAGGGTAACTTGTTATTTCGCGATCGGAATTTTACAATTTTTTATTCAAAGGTTTGATCACGTTTATTTATTGAGGCTCGCTAATTTTATATTTGCTTAATTCACTTGAAGGATCTGAAACCCCTGGAACACATTCTCCCAAATCAACAGCTTCGTTTTCACCTTCTGCATCAGATAGAGACTCCACACCAACATACTCTTCTAATTCTTATTTAATGGCACAATATTTTCCCAAACATGGGATGTCCGCATTGCATCTAAATGAATCACAAAAGGCTGCTCTAGATAGGGCAAAGGCCTTTGCAAGGGATATACAGGCAACAGTAAGAAAATTCTTTCGATAAATATATTTAAGCATTCGTCTTTAATATGATCCATCTAATAATTTAATTCTTTAGCTGCTAAAATCAGCTGGAAGAGATAGCTCACCACCACGTTTACCTTCTCTTTTTTTATCATCTAATCCTGGATTGGCATCCGGAATAGATCCCCGTTCTCTTTCGGTTTTATCACGTATTTATGTCGGCTCGATCAACTTTGAACTTACCGAACAACATTTGCGCGTTGTGTTCGGCCAATTCGGTTCAATAAAGAGTGTTAGTATGTCTTTAGATCCTCTCACTGGAAAACATAAAGGTTTTTGCTTCATTGAATTTGAAACACCGGAAGGTGCTTCTTTGGCTCTTGAATCTATGAATGGAGCTGAATTAGGTGGAAGGTAATTTCCAAAGCTTCATAATAAATGTGTACGAATTTTTTTATCCATCGTTATTTATTTAGGCAGCTTAAAGTTGGAAGACCTAATAATTATACTGCTGCTACTGCTGCTGGTTTGTAACAAGTTTATATTTTATTTCATGAGTTTTCATGAAATGAAAATGTATATTTACATAATAAATTTAGGTTTATTACCGCCCCCAAAAACTCGGATATACGTTTCTAATGTTAACGAATATGTTAGTGAAGATGATTTGTTGAGCATCTTTGAATCATTCGGTAAAATTATTCATTGCGCTCTATTGGTAAGTTGTTTAATTTCATAATATTGTCAGCAATGTTCTTGTCTGATTATTTCTTGGGATAATATTTCAGCCGGACCTTATAACGAGAAAGCACAAGGGATATGGGTAAGTAAATAAGTGTATCTTTACTGTATTTATTAGGTTATGCAGGATTCTTTCTTTCAACCAAACAGTACCGGGTTGATATGACTTTATTCGGGAGTAAATGTAAATCTTAGAGTGATGGTGTCCCTTTCCACCTATGTTGTGTGCATTTTTTCATGACTCCTTACACCCTTCCATCTTTCCTTGCATTTCACCTAATTTTAAAAGACACTTACCACAAAGTGGCATTTAAAGTTATCAGAAACTCTGCATTTTTGAATACTGGAATTTTTTTGCCATATTTCATATTTTTCATTGTTAATAATTTCAAATATGGAAGTTGTGGGAAATTGCAAACTCACCATTATAATTTCATCTATGCACTCTATGCACTACAAAATTTATTTTTATTTTTTTTTTTTTATCAATATTGTCGATTCTATTGCACCATCTGCCGTTTATTCGGCCCTTTTTTTTTTTTTTTTTTTTTTTTTTGTTTATGTACATATTTTACATAACCGCATACTCCCATAATGTATACATATTCGTACATTCCGCAGACAGACAATCAATCACTCCAGCATCGTTCAGTATTGAACGGCCCATACTTTCGTTGATATTGGCACCACCGCTTGGACCGTCGACAATGGCTGTACTTCAAAATGCAATCCCTCCCAGCATTCCATATCTTTCAATGGCTTAGCATTAAGTACATAAAATTTTTTAATAACCATCCCCACTTTCCCTATTCGTTAATTTAGGTTCATTGAATTTTATGATGAATCCGCCGCTAGTACAGCTGTTAGTTCTATGAACAATTTTGAATTAGGTGGTTTGATTTTACATGTTGGTAAAGCGGTGATTGGAGGTCCACTGAGCGAGGGTATGAAAGCAATCGAAAAATTACCCCCGCTTCCTGTTGGTGTAACTCCTCCACCTACTCTTGTAGCTTCCCCTTCTGTGTCTGCTGCAGGTTTGTAATTTATTATGTTAAAAAAGTTTGAAAGGACCATCTTTTCGGTTAATTTTAAACTCAAACTTAATAGCTGCAGCTGCTAAAGCTCAAAATGCTGCAGCAAAAATAGCAGCTGATTTGGCTGCTAGAGGACAAGCTGCAGTGGAGTCTGTCGCACAAGAAGAGAATATGAGTATTAGTGCTAGCCAACGTTATGCAATTATGCAGAAATTAGCACGAGCTGAAGTATGTAATAAATGTTGTGCCCGATATTATAAGTTTTTTTTTTTATCTAATATGTATAAATTGCATAAAGTCATCTCCAGTTGTGTGCATTCGTAATGCTGTTTCGCCTTCGGAAGTTGACGATACACTTGAAGACGAATTCCAAGAAGAGTGTAGTAATTATGGAAAAGTTAGCAAAGTGGTGGTTCACATTGATTCCGAAGAAAGTTTTGAAGGTGAACGAGGTTTGGTTAAAATATTCGTTCAATTTGAAGAAGGAGCTGGTAAACTTTCTAAAATACAATTATATTGCGCTTTTTTTTTATTTATTTTTTGATTTAATGAATTTCATTATGATTTTTGTAGATGCGGTGAAAGCCAAAGAAAAATTGGATGGTCGATGGTTTGGAGGTCGTCGTATAAGTGCTACATTATTTGATCTTAAAAAGTTTCAAACAGGAGATTACTCCAACTAACATTTTTTTTCTTTTAATGTACAACTCATTATTTCGCTTACAATTGTTCGTTTATTATATAAAATGCTAATACAATCATCGTATTAAAGTTTTGTAATATATTCTTAAAAAAATTTTTTACATAATATAAAATTATCCATGAATGCAATGTATTGATAGTGTCATTAATTAAATATTGCCTCAAATGTCGCATATTGTGAATTGCCCAATTTGCATTTTAATAAAAAGTTTAATATTACAAATATAAAGATTAACAATTATATGAATATATTGTACAAGTAAAATTGTGAATAAAAAAAGTATGCAACAGTTTTAATTGCTTTTATATTTCTAAATTAAAATAATAATAAATACTTAATCAAACCAGAAAAAAAAAATGAAAAGCAAAAAAAAAAAAAACCAGATAACTTACATCTTCACTCTGCATTTTATTGTTTGGGTCTATTGAGTTTCTTACACCAAGTAAGCCTTTGGATGCTGCCTCGGCGACTCCAATCATTGGTTTTAATACAGCAACCGGAACAGCACGAATCACAGCCTTAACTGTTCCTTGAGTTCCAGTCTTTTCATATACTTCCATCGGCACGGCAAAAATTGTGTGCGCTGCAGTCCCAATAT